CAGGGGGTAAATGCTCTGCATGGGAAGCTAGACTATGGCTTGAATTGAAGTCCTGGTGGCTTGAAAAACACAGTAGGGGGACCAGCAGGGGGGCCAGCAAAGACACTGGACTCCCACATGGCCAACCACGGTTTGAGTCCTGGACCTGGTCTCTTGCTTTCTCACTTTCTCTCTTTCTCAGTCCCTCTCTAATTAAAATAAATTTAAAAGGTTAAATAATAAAATAATTCTTTTAGAAAAAAGAAAAACACACTAGGTACATGTGCACACATGCCCCTGAAGGGATGTAGAAATGGAGGACAAAGGATTGTGGCATGATCGTGCCCCATTGGGGAATGCTCCTTCCACCCCCATATCGCTCTCTAGCAAGTGTACATGCCTTCTGCCAGTTAAAATAAATAGATAAATAAATAAAGATATAAACAGAAGAGGCAGTTGAGAAGGCAGAATACTGAAGATAGTTTTTACCTGGTCGTTTTTCAAGTATTTGTTTCACAAAATAAGATTAGCAATGGGTCAAAATGTATCACTGGTTCTGCTCAGCAGTTTCTCTTGCATGTTGTGCAGCTGTTTAATAGTCTTACCAGCAATAATATCACTGTTGTCGGCTCAGCCTTTCTGTAAAGTTTGATGTGCCAATAGAAAGCAGTTTTTTGTTTGCATGTTTTGTTTTCTATTGTTTCATATTGAGACTTAACTAAGGGGAAAAATTACTTATTTATTTACATTTAAATTTTGTCTTCTGGTTCAATTTTCTTTCTAGATGCTGAAGTACCCTTCAATAATGGGACTAGGAGCCAGCAAGAAATTAGATAGACTTTGTCTCAAGACCTCTTTCGAGCAGAACTTTTCTCCTTTGTTCCCACGGCCTCAGCTCCTCTCGTCGTTTCCAGTGTGTATGAGCAAGACACAATGCTATCATACATCCCCATGCAGCTTTAAGAAGCAGAAGCAAGCAGTGCTCCCAGCCAGGCCACCAAGCACCATCACCTACCTGCCTCACAGCCCAAAGCCAGCATTATACATAACTCTGGCAGGACTGATCCCCTTTGTTGCCCCACCACTGGTCATGATGATGTCAAAGGCTTACATCCCGGTGCTAGCTTTAACTCAGATGGCTTATGGAGCCAGTTTCCTATCTTTCTTGGGAGGGGTCAGATGGGGTTTTGCTCTGCCAGAAGGCAGTCCAGCCAAACCAGATTTCCTTAATTTAGCTAACAGTATAGTTCCTATTATGTTTTCATGGTTTGCCTTCCTTATTTCTGAAAGACTCAGTGAAGCTATAGTCATGGTAGTGATAGGTTTGGGGGTAGCATTACACATTGAACTTTTCCTCTTGCCACATTATCCCAGCTGGTTCAAAGCCCTGCAGATAGTAGTCACTTTAGTAGCCTTTATTTCATTTGGAATCACTTTAATAGTTAAATACATTTATCCAGAAAAAGGACCCAAGAGACTTCAAGTAGAATAAATTTAAAGTGACCTTGGGGTCAGCCACAGTGGTACAAGTGGAAGGGTGCTACTGCATGGGCAAGGTAGCACATACCTGTGGTCCAGGCTGGGGTAGGAGGATCATGATGAGACCCCATTAAAAAGTACATCTCTCTCTCTCATTAAAAAATGTTTTATAGATAACATGTTGGCTACTTTCCTTGTAAGGCTGCATTTTGCCATCACCCTTTCTACTTTCGTTTGGCCCTTTTTCCCCACCAATGGTAGTTTCTTCTTTACAGAATGTTCTCGTCTCTAGAAATTGTCATTTCATAGGGATTACTTGAGCAAGAGATTGAAAATCCCTAACAATACTTTTTCATGTCATATTAGGTTAATTTTCATGCAGACTTTTAAATGAATTATATAGTAATCCATTTAAACATTTCAATGTTTTGCCTTTAAAAATGTAAAATTTTTTTACAAAGATGAAAAACTCCCTTTGTTAGATAGAGCCTTATGTCCATTAAAAAGAACATACACATTCTTCTCCTTCAAGAGGAAAACTTTGTATCTATGAGTGTCTGAAAATAAAAGGTAGATCCAGTGTGGCATTTTCATAGCAGTTGCCTCTAGAAATGCATGTCCAAGCTTATTTTATCTGGTATAACCTACTTGTATGAGCTGAAATGATGTGGCTCTAAAGTCAGTCATGAAGGAAAACCACGCTCAAAGAAAAACTGGATACGTTTTCCGGTTTTTATCAGGATTTGGCATGGTATGCGGCTTAACTCCTTATCACCAAATGTGTAACACCAACTGGTAAAAAATACTTAAAGCCTAAGTGTCGTATATGTCATATGAATTAGGAAGGAAGAGTCAAGCTGGAACCATCTCAGTGCTCTAAGGAGCAGGCTTATCTAGTTAATATTTTAAATTCAGGAGAGGCTTTTTTAAATAAAAAAAGGAACACTCTGTTTTTGTTTTGTTTTTTTCCTGAATTGCTGGAGGGTGCCTATACTTGCCATTGAGAGACAGAGTAAGAAATGTGGCCTGGTCACATGGCCCATGGCTGAAACCATGGCAGGATCTTTATTATAGAGAACAGTTTACTATGGACTGATAATAGAAAGAAAGCAAGCTTATAGTCTTCAGATCTTCAGATTCTATTCACATTAAGTGTTTGGATGAGGAAACTCACTTCTGTGCTTGTAAATTGCATGAGTACTATACAAAGTGAAGACTCTCCTAATCTCAAATGCATTATCTTCCAGAATAAGGGTAAGTCATATTTTTAGACTCATGCCCTAATTTCAGTTAAAAAAAAAAAAACTATTTTGCAATTGAATTACAGTATATGTATGTTTCTGTAATTAAATTGATTCTTAAGTTTATCTGATTAACTACATTGTGCAGGATAGTAAGCATTTTAAAATGTCAAACATTCTGTAGGAAGGTTGATCACTTTAATAGTTGCTCAGAAAATAGAAGTAAATGTAAAACAAAATGTACAAGTCCTTAAAGTTAATACAAACTAAAAAACTTGTGCAATCCTGCTACAGTCAATAATCCAGGAGTACTACTAATAAATAAGTGATTCAAAGAAAAAAAAAATCTAGATACTTTATTAGTATATTCTTTTAAAAACGATCTGTCATTCCCTAAGAGATATAACCATATTTATAGTTAACCTATGTTTAAGAATCTTCTGGGTTTGGGACCAGCAGTTAGCGTAATGACTATGTCGCTGGACTCCCACATAGTCGACCACGGTTTGAGTCCCGGACCTGGTGGCTTAAACTCACACCAGGCGTGTGTGCGTGCATGCCCAAGATCCCAAGAGGAGAATGGAGGAGAAGGGATTGCGGTGTGGCCATACCCCTGGGGGGTGATTTCTCGCTTTCTTTCTCTCTGTGTCTGTCTATCTGGCGAGCATATGTGCCCTATAGCAAAAACCTCTCAAAAAAAGTTATTAAAAAGAATCTTCTGGGTTTTTTTGTCTTGATTCTGAGAATGCAAGTAATTAATAGGAGGTCCTTAGTAACAGTCCAAACACTTAAACTCTAATTGTCTTGACATTACATTTCTGCCACAACAGTGCAAAAATGCCTTCCTTCACAGTGCCATTTTAGATTGGTACTAGACAATAATTAAATTATAGGAGTGCTTTGTCAATCTGTTTTGAACCAGAAAGCAGATTCTCCGTAACTAGAAATATTAAAGGCACACGAGCTAGAACTGAAATAGTCTACAAATGAGCCTGATACTCACCTTTTAACATCTTACAGATCCAAACAAGCATCAGTGACCCTTCTGTCTTTCAGGATACCCCAGAGAAGGGGACTGAGCTTTCTGTCTACATAAGTTTTCTCTAAAACATGCATATAGTTAAGTTATGAAAGTATCCTTGTGGGCAAAACCAGATCTTTTGGATATGAGTACTACCTGAGTCTTTAATGCAGACCAAAAGTTTTCTATCTAAATAAGCTGTTAATATTTATAACTCCCCCACGGGGTTGCTATGTTTCCTTCTCCTTTTCTCCCTCCTATAGGGATTTTGAGTATGTATGCACCCACACCTGGCCTGTTTCTAAAACCAGAGATCCAGCTCCTTTAATCACTAGGTCATGGGGCCAGCCCAAAATGAGACGTTTTGAGAAGCAGTTTTGGAATAAATGGGCCTTTCAACCTATACTTGAGTCAGAGACTGTATAAGCACCCAGAATTGTCTTCCCCACACCAAACAATAGCTTTGTAAAGCTGATAATTCGATTTGGCCATGTTAAACTAGTGAGGCTGGATAATTTAGTAAAGTTCCTTCTTCCTAAAGTCAAACAGCTCCTTTTGGTGACTACCTAGAAAATACAGACATTTCTAGGTGCCTGCCTGGTGCATAGTGGGCTCTATCACCTAATATAGCCTATTATAATCAAGGACTGTCACTAAGGACTTCCTATTCATTCCCTACTCTCAGAATCAAGACACAAATTGTGAGTGAGCTAAAGCTTTTCTTAAGTTGTCATCAACAATCAAAAACTTACCTCTATAAATAGCTAGATATTTTTTACACACCCCTTTTAGTATATCTGTTGCCAATAAAAAGTTTGGAGCTAATGAAAACTCCTGAACTCAAATAAAAGTAGAAAGTTAACTACATTGGCTTTTCTTTGTAGGTTAACCTATGGCCATGGAGAATTGTGCTCTAGCTCTGTCATGAATGTACAGAGAGCTTTTAAACTATTTCACTGACACTCCTTCATCACACAAAGATTATGTACAACTTGAAATTGCCTGGAGAAGCAGCTAAATGGGCTATCTGCCAAGAAACTTCCAGCAAATAATTTTTACAAATAGGACTCTATGCTTAACCAGACAATTCTAGGGCATAAAGAACATTTCTATTGGTGAGTTTAGCAAATTTGTGTGAGCTCTTAATTTAGGATTTATTTCATATCTCTTCTCAGTGAAATTTTTAGAAAAATCAGTCTTGAGTCACCCATGTACCAGACCCATGGAAAACTCAGAAGAATCGTAGGGTCCTATCACCAAAAGGTCAAATCCTACATTTTCAAAATGCTCCTTCTGCTCTCTTACTCTTTATACTTCATAGGACAGCAACGCCCCCTTCACAACGGCTGGTGATCATGTGACCGATTTCTGTCCATGTATCTGAATGAGGGTTATAAACTTCAACTGAGTCCAAGGTACCAGGGGCCAAGAAATCATGACTAGACGATCGACCTCCAGAAACATACAGAAGACCGTTGACTGCCACAACACACATGCCTGCTCTAGGCACTTTCATTGAGGCAACTTCAACCCACTTTTCCTGAATAAGAGAGAAAATAAACATATTAATGTCATAAATAATAACAAAGAGGGGCCAGCAGGTGGTTAAAGTGCTGGACTCTTACATGCTGACCACAGTTTGAATTCTGGGCCTAGCAACTTGAAAATCACACCAGGAGCGTATGCATGTGTGCCCAAAGTCCTGAGAGGAGAAAGGAGAAGGGATTGCAGTGTGGCCATCACCACTAGGGGATGATTTCTCACTCTCTCTCTGTCTCTCTCTGGCAAGCACACCTTCACTATGGCAAAAACCTAAAAATAATAATAATAATAGAGAAAATCACTCTGAGAAATCAGATTATTCTGGTTCTTTTCACATACTTAAATTTCAATCTCACAGGGGCAGCAGGTGACATGGTGGCTGAGGAACTGGATACACACATGGTTGACTGCACTTCATGTCCTGGAATGGCAGCTTTGAAGTTCACACTGGGTACATGTGCATGCTTGCTCAAAATCTCAGGAGGAGAATGGAGAAGAGGGGATACGGTATGACCATCACCCCTGGGGGTGATTCCCTCTCATTGCCTCTCTAGCAAATGCACGTGCCCTATAGCTAAAGCCTTGAAAAAAAAGTTCAGTCTCATAATCTAGTCAGATACATATAGAGGACATTTTAAAATGAACTTTTGAGTAGGCATAACAAAGTAGTAAATTTATAGAAAATAATTGAAAAACGTGTAGGATCATAAATTACAATCAGGAGATGATCTAGAAAGAAATATTGCCAGCATTCTAAGAAACTGTTGTATGGAATACCAGTAGATAATACACTAAATGCAAAGCAAAGGAACCACAAAGCTCTATAGAAAAAGAAGTGTATTTACCAAAGGCTCCTTTTCTTTCAAGCTGCTGGGTCTAGAAATCGAACCATGCAGCTGGCCATGTAGAATCCAGCTGCTTTAACCATTATGCCACTGGCTGGTCCCCAAAAGGCCTTTTAAAGCCATTAATATACTAATAAGCTTTAAACATTTCCAAGAGAATAATATAGTGGGACAATCCAATGGTATTAGTAATCTGCAGAATATATTTTCAAAAAGGTAGGTTAGGCCATGGGTTAGGAACTATAATCTATTTTTGTATAGCTTGAGAATGAAGAATGATTTTTCCATATTAAAAGTTTGTTTTTAAAACAAGAAGAGAGGGTCCAGCAGGTGGCATGGTGGTTGGGGTGTTGAACTCCTACATGGTCAACCATGATTCAAATCCCAGGCCCAGTGGCTTGAAGATCATGCCAGGCATGTGTGCATGTGTGCCCAAGATCCTAAGAGGAAAATGGAGGAGAAGGGATTTCTCACTTTCCCTCTCACTGTCTCTCCAGTAAGCATATGCACCCTATGGCAAAAACATTCAAAACAAAGCAATTAAAAACCAAGAATATACCAAAAAAAGAGATTTTATGTGGCCTGAAAGGCCAAATATATTTACTCTCTGGCCCTTTACACAAAAAGTTGGATATCTTTTGACTGGTATACATTGTTCCCTGAAGACATTTCAGTAAGCTGCTATAGGTCAAATGACTAGCAATATCCTACGTAAGGTAAATTGTCTATACCAGAAAACAGGAAAGCTTATAAAGGTAATCAGAAGGAAAAAAAAAAAAAAACCAAAAAGCCAGGTAATAAAAGAGTACATTAGCAAACTGCATATTAGGCATATAATAAACTCATCATCTGTCTGTCTTTTTCACGTGCACACATATGTAGTCTATGAATAAAAAAAGTTTTAAGTATGTTCTTTGATCAAAATCAAATTAAATTAGAAATCAAAGGGCCAGTGGGTGGCGTGGTAGTTAAGGCCCTGGATTCCCACATGGCCAACCATAGTCCAAGTGCTAGACCCGGCAGCTTAAAATTAACAAATAAAAAGATAAATATTAAAAAAAATTTTTTTAAAGATAACTAGAAAACTCCCATATCTTGGTAAACTAACATACTTCTTTTTTTTTTGGGGGGGGGAGAGGTTTTCACTATAGGGGGGGTGGGCCCGCCAGAACGAAAGACAGAGACATAGAGACAGAAAGCGAGAAATCACCCCCCAGGGGGTATGGTCATGCCACAATCCCTTCTCCTGCATTCTCCTCTCAGGATCTTGGGCATGCACGCACACGCGCCCGGCGTGAGTTTTAAGGCACCGGGTCCAGGACGGGAACCATGGTCGACTATGTGGGAGTCCAGCGACATAGCCAATATGCTAACTGCTGGTTCCCTAGCTGTTTTTTTTTTTTACTAACATACTTCTATCAACCCATTAGTCAAAGAAGAAATTATCAGTAAAATTAAAAAGTATTTCAAGATAAATGCTATTTAAAACAACCTATCAGGTCAGCAGGTGATGGGTGCTGGACTCACACATGGCCAACCACAGTTCAAGTCCTGGACCTGATGGCTTGCTTGCTTTCTCTCTCTCATAAGTCAAAAAGGTAATAATAATAAATAAATAAAATACAAGATATTAAAATATGTGAATGTAGTTAAAGTGGAGCATGAATAAGACTGTTAGCTTTAAAAGTTTATATTGTAGGGGTCAGCAGTTGGTTTGGTGGTTGAGGCACATGGCTGACCATGTTCGAATCCTGGACTTGGCGGCTTGCTTTCTTACTTTCCCTCTGTCTTTCTCTCACTGGTGAGCATGCTTGTCCCATAGCAAATTAAAAAATAATAATAACAGCAATAAATTAAAGAATTCCTTTTTTTTTTTTTGGAGAGGTTTTTGCTATAGGGCGTATGTGCTTGCCAGAAAGACAGACAGAGACAGAAAGACAGAAAATGAGAAATAGCCCCCAAGGGGGGATGGCCACACCGTAATCCCTTCTCCTCCATTCTCCTTTCAGGATCTTGGGCATGCACGCACATGCACCCAGCATGAGTTTAAGCCACTGGGTCTTGGACTCGAACCATGGTTGACTACATGGGACCCCAGCGACATAGCCATTACTCCATCTGCTGGTCCCAAATTAAATAATTCTTCAAAAAAATGTCCAAGGTTGAAATATTAAAAAAAGAGAGAAAAGTTTGTATTACAAAAAAAGTCTACAACAAATCATCTAAGCTTCTACTTTAAGAACCTAGAAGAACAAGAACTAAAGGAGAAAGTAAAAAAATCAAAACAAAAGTTAGTGAAACAGAAAATGGTCAATCAGTGGGTCAACTGGTGGCATGGTAGCTAGCCACTGGATCCCACATGGCTAACAGTGTGGTTCAAGTCCTGGGCCCAGCAGTTTGAAAAACACATCAAGGCGTATCTGTGCATGCCCCAAATCCTGAGGGGAGAATGGAGGAGAAGGAACTGCAGTGTGGCCATTCCTCCTGTAGGGGTGCTTACACACAGACACACATACCCCTAGCAAAATTTACATACAAAAAGAAAATGATCAATCAACAAAAAAAGTCAATGACATTAACAGTTGGTTCTTTGAAAGAAAACAAAACAACAACAAATTCCACAAATGTTCAGTATCATAAATGAAAGAGCACATCTTTACAGACTCAGAGACATTAAAAGAATACCAGAAATCATCCAACTTACGTCTTCAAAGGAGTATTTTTCAACAGTATGAAGAGCATCTTGTGTCTCATTCCACCCTCCAATAGAATAGATGCAGTCATTGAGTGCAGCCACCCCAAGATATGCTCTCCGGGTTCCCATTGGAGGAAGTGGAGACCAACGTTTAGAAAGTGGATCATAAACTTCAAAAGAGCGAAGCTCTATTCCTTCATTGCTGATGCCCCCAACTACATAAATTAAACCTGGAAATGAAATATTTTTGCTCAGATGTTTTGAAATAAGATACAAGTTATGATGAAAGCAAGAAGGAGTTGGTCCTGTGACCTGGTGGTTCAAGGAGCTAAATCCTACATGGCTGGCTGTGTGGTTCAAATCTTGGTCCCAGTGGATTGGAAATCATACATGTATGCCCCAAATCCCAACTGGATAGAGTAATGGAGAAGGTATTGCAGCATGACCATTGAGGTGGTCTTTCTCCTTCTCCCTCTCTGTCTCACTGTCTTTCTATGGCAAGCACACACACCCTCTGGCAAATTTTTAAAAAGAAAAGTAATAGTTATGATCTATGTTTGCCTTGCTGATGCTATATTTAATATAGCGTTTATAATATTAAGAAGGAAAGTCAACTTCTGTCTTAGTTACAGCTCACATTTGAGCATGTTGCAAAAAAAGGAGGAGTGTTGGGGCCAGCAGGTGGCATGGTAGTTAAGGGCACTGGATTCCCACATGACCAACCACGGTTCAAGTCCTGGACCTGGTGGCTTGCTTTCTCATTATCTCTCTCTTTCTCTCTCTCCCTCTCTGGTCAAATTAAAATAAATAAAGGTAAATTTTTAAAAAAAATATTTCTTTAAAAAAATTAGGAGTTATTGGGGCCAGCAGGTGGTGTGGCACTTAAGGGTGCTGAACTCCCACATAGCTGACCACGGTTTGTCCCAGACCTGGCGGCTTGCTTTCTCACTTTCTCTCTCTCTCACTTTGTCCCTCTCCGGTCAAATTAAAATAAATAAATAAATAAAATGAAGTTTGATATAAAATTTTTTTAATTGGGAGTGTTAAAGTGGCATTGAATTTTTAAGGAACTTGATTATACTATAACAAAAAAATTATCAGACAAGAACCTTAAATCTCATTGTCTGCTTGGTGACCTCAGGTGTCAGACCACTGATACCAATTATAGATTAAAAAAAAAAGAGAAGAGACACAGATCCTCCCCCCCCCCAATAAAAAAACAAATGTCATGTCGATCCAGTTGGGTGGCAAAAGTGAGAGCGCACCACTGCACAGTGACTGGGACCATATGAGGCCTGGGTTCAGTTGCGTGCCCATCCTAAACTGGCTAGGTACAATGACCAGGGGTTTTAGTCCTGGCTAACTGGGAGACTGAGAGAGGATTGTGATGTGATGTGACCAGACCTTGTCAAAAGTGCCTATTTCTCTCTCCCTGTCACTCTGTCTTCCTCTCTTGTGTGCACATGTGTGCACTTACACACTTTCTCATTAAAAGAAAAGTCATGCACTTAAACTGGTAATGACATGGACCTCTTTGATGACAGCCTATAAGTTGCTCAGATGGACATAAAGTAAAATAGAAAATTTTAATTAGAATAATTATGTGGCTAGATTAAGGTACCAGAATCAATTACTAGAGCACAGTAGAATGTAATTTATAGACAGCTGCTTATTAAATTTGATTTGATAACCTAGCCACTGTAGTGCAGATGGTAAGATGTAACCATGTAATAATGGAGCCACATGGCAGGTCCAGGTTTAAACCTTGAGTACAACCCTGGCCTGAACACACTAGGCACAATTGTGAGTGCCTGTGATCTTGGCTGGTTGGGAGGAGGATTATGACATGAGGAGATCTTGTCAAAGGCTCTTTTCTCTCTCTGTGTGTCTCCCTGATTCATTTTCTCTTTCTCATGAAAGAAAAAAAACTCTCAAAATGTTTGATTGGAGGGGCCGGCAGGTGGCATGGTAGTTAAGGTGCTGGACACCCACATGGCCAATCACAATTTGAGTTCCAGACCTGATGGCTTGCTTTCTCACTTTCCCTCTCTCTATGTCTCTAATCAAACTGGAAAATAATAATAAATAAAATTAAATAATTCTTTTAAATTTTTTAAAAATAATAA